TCACGATGAGCACCAAAAGCACGGATCCACAATCATGCACCAAGTTCACGTACAGCGCCAAAAGCACGGATCCACGATCATGCACCAAGTTCACGTAGAGCACCAAAAGCACGGATCCACAATCATGCACCAAGCTCACGGTGAGCACGAAAAGCACGGATCCACGATCATGCGCCAAGTTCACGTAGAGCACCAAAAGCGCGGATCATGCACGTAGAGCACATGCGCACGTAGCACCGACCGCCGAGCACGTAGAGCACCGACCACTGAGCACGCACGTAGAGCACACCCGCACCGACTCAGAGCACTCGCGCACCGACTCAGAGCACTCGCGCACCGACCACCGAGCACGCACGTAGAGCACACGCGCACCGACACAGAGCACACACACGCGCACCGACCACGGAGCACGCACGGGCTATTCGGCACTTCTGGTACCAACCGGTGGGTGGGCGATTGGAGGGGTGGGCCGCGAATAGAAAAACGGGCAGGCAGTGAATACAAAAACGGGCGGACCGCGAATAGAAAAACGGGCAGATGGGCGGGCGATTGGAGGGTTGGGCCGCGGAAAAAAAAAAACGGGTGGGCCTGCAGTTCGGCGCTTCCGGTAGCAGCCGGCAGAATCCGATATCGCACGGTCCGAATCGCAGGCTGGTAACGCGCCATGAACGGCCCAAATCGCAGGCTGATCAGAAAACTTTCTGATCAGCCTGCGATCTGGGCCGTCCGTGGCGCGTTACCGGCCTGCGATTCAGGCCGTGAGATATGAAATTTAGCAGTTCTTATAGTAGGTAGATAATAATAATAATAATAATAGTAATAATAATAATAATAATATACAATATATTGCAATCAGACTCACTTCATTCACACTTTACATGCATGCAAACAGTAGCGCAGCAAACTGGCGACATGCGCCCACTCAAACTCAGAGATATGGCAACCCAGATATGAGTTCACTTTCAATGGCTATGGCGACTCAGCGCCCAAACAACTCTCTGTTCGCATACACCGGATCACCCTGGATATCCCACATGCGACTCTCTGAACACTCACACACACACACTATGAACCTCAACTACAGCTATGGTGGCTATGGCCACCTCTACCCTATCGCCTTTTCCATCGGCCCATGGTGCTCACAGTCCCTTGTGGTACTTGCTGGACCGCACTGGGACTGACTGGACCTTACCGCTGACTGAATGGGGACTCACTGCTATCCTACTGAGGTCGTACTGCAATCGCACTGCAGTTAGTCCACCACTGGACTCGCCACTTGACCACTTGCCCACTTGCCGACCTTCTAGAAGACTACAGCTAAGACTTCCAGATCTACAGATCGAACCCCTATAACCTACGGACCCTACGGCAGTCTACCAACTGTTACGAATACACAGGTCACGGGTTCAACTCTCGGGTTTGACACAGGTAGTGTACACAGGTAATGTAAGGACTACCGTCTTCACCCGAATAGAACGCCCGGTAATTACGGCCGTATCTGGACTGAAAAATGCATCAAATACGGCTATAATGACCGGGCGTTGTATTCGGGTGAAGACGGTAGGGATCGGGCCCTGGGATCTGCATCTGCTACTGCAAAAAGGTGAAAACCATTTCAATATATAGAAAGATCGTAAAACAGAACTGCCCAGTAAACCGCAAGCAGAGAGGGAGAAGAGGAGAACAAATGAGGGGATGTGACAATGTGTTTCGTCGGAGTTTCACCGGCTCATCAGGAGGCTGAACCCTCAACAGTCTGCAGAATCCCCTAACTGATTGCACTGTAAGTGATAACCCACCTTAACTCCGCTTGTGGTTAAGCATCAACGACTGCCCGAGATATAGTGTAATATATAAATATTATAAATCCGGGCCCAGTGCCAAGGCAATTGTGTGTGTTATCCTTCATCCTATGTGCAGGGGGCATGCTAATCTTCTCTGTACTTTTCCAATGTTCAACCACCAGCCCTCTCCCGAACGGGTCACGGCAACATCACTCTGAATCATCACAAAGTCGTAGATGAGTGATGGCCATGACCCGTTTGGGAGAGGGCTGGTGGAGCGTTCGAGAGACGGGAACGGAGAGAAAGTTGGGCGCGTGGTGAACACGCAAAGGCGTTGGGGAAAAGCAAATGTGCCTTAAAAATGAGGGGGGGGGAGGCGAACAAGGCATAGACACAAGAATGTGCGCACGAACACACGCGCATGCACAATTACAACGCACACACACACCCACGGACATGTGAAAGCACACACATTCACACACACACACGGACGCACGCACGTGCCCACACATTCACTAATTAGTGTACGGAGGGAGTGGGTACGGGTTGGGCTGAGTAATGTTGCTCATACGAGATAGTAGGAGAGAAATGTTAGGTATAGCACTGTGAACCAGTTCACATTTCATGAGTGCAGCCGGGGATGGGTTTGGCCAGGAGTGCCTGGCCCAGCTCCACAAGCCTGCGGTATGCATATAAGCGACGCTGGACCCATTTTCCCACTTATAATGGAATTTTTTTTAATTAAAAAATAATAATATTTTCTTTGGAGCGCGGCGAAGTCTCAAACATGAACCTTGCGGAGCCCTCCCCTTCTGTAGCAACAAGAAAAAGCACCAATGAAGAAACACTGAAAAGACAACCAAATTGAACCAATTTACAAAACAAAAATCCCTGTTTGCATAAGGGCCTGGAGGGCCTGTTCCAAAACTGCTGAGGGTGCCATCCAAATGGCTCAACGGCTCGGATTTCTTTGGGCCTAATGAAATCCAGGGTTGGGAAAAAGAGGCCGGGACTTCCGCAGTCAGTTGTTGATTGAGGTAACCTGTGACTTGTGAGTATAACAGTAATGATTGCGTCGGCCCGGTAGTTCCTCGTTCGGAGCGATGTCCACAGCAGCACCCTGGAATGCTGCTTAGTGAACAGAGGAGGGCAGGTGGAAGACAGTTTGTTGGACGCTGGGCGCGGTTCCCAGTTCTGTCCAGCAAAAGGAGAAGGACCCGTTTTCCAGCAGCTGTTGCTCCCCACCAATAGATAGAGCTTGTGCTTGGGCACGGTTCCCAGTTTTGTCCAGCAAAAGGAGACAAAACAATGTGTTCAAGAGACGCGGGACCTGTTTTCCAGCAGGTGTTGCTCCCCCCCAATAGATGGAGCTTGTGCTTTTTGAAAAAAAAAACAAAACAAAAGGTTGCCGTGTTTTCCAAAGTTTGTGTACTTTCTATGTGTTTTCAATCATCAGGTGGATTTCCATCGATTTCATTTTCAGAGTGGATGTGAATGTCATCTGTTGATTGTTCATCGTGTGAATCCCACCACTCGTAATCATGAGCCCCCTTCGTTCGGGTAGGCCAAGCCTTTCATTGCGCAGCTTGTATACAGCAGCGAGTTCTCCATGAGGGGGGTAGGTAATGTTGATTTAAACCATACTTGCAAGTGCACGTCGTGCGGGCGGTTCCCTACGTGCGGCGCACGTGCCCAACCGATCCCGTCCGGCGCACGACATGTGCGCGGAACGACCTGTCACCCCCCTCAGAAAAAAAAAACGCCGGGGTCGAAACGGTGTGTTTGAGCCCCCCCGCCAAAATTATAAGCGAGATGAAAAAAAAAATTACAGGACTACTTCCTCACCTTGCTCCTACTCCCCTTCCTCATCCTCCATGTATCCTCCTCCCTTCTCCTTTTCGTCTCCTCCTCCTCCTCCTCCTCCTCCTCCTCCTCCTCCTCCTGCCCTTCCTCATCCTCCTTGTCTCCTCCTCCTCCTCGTACTTCCTCGTCTTCCATGCCTCCTTGTCTCCTTCCCTTCCCCGTGTCCTCCCCTTCCTCACTGTCCATGTCTCCTCCTCCTCCCACTCGTCCTCCTCCTCCTGCCCTTCCTCTTTTCCCTCCGTCCATCTCTTCTCCTCCCCCATCTCGACGACTCCTCGTCGTCCTCGATATCCTCATCGTCCTCCTCGTCCACAAACACCTCCTCTCCATATCCCCCTCTCCTCGCCATATCCCCATCTTCCTGTCATACTCCCCCCCGTTCCCCTCCCAAAAAAAGATAAAATAATAATAATAAAAATAAAAAACCTGCACGATTCCGCACAGGTAGCCCCCCCCAGAACTCCGCACGGAACTCCGCACGAATGGGTGCTCGTGGGGTTGCAAGTATGCTTTAAACCACCAGTACTTGGACAAGCTATAGAAGCGAAGCCTCAACTTGCCCTGCACTCCAAAAAAATATGAAGCCACGCAGGCCTGCTTCTGGCTGGCACCGCCAGCTATTTCTGTTTGGCACCCGAACCCCGAAAAGTGCGGCCCGCAACCCGTGTATGGGCCAAGTACTGGTGGTTTAAGGCACGGTACTCTCTTTTCAAAGTTCTATTTAATTTGTTGCTTGTTTCCTCTCATGTGCTGTAAGGAAAAAACATTTCGATTAAGCCACCAGTACTTCGCTCAGCTTGGAAAACAAACATGCGGCTCTTACACGGCCACAACTTTCGGGGTCGTGAGACCGGACCAAAATGCCTCGCGGCACCAGCCAAAACGAGGCCCGCGCTTTTTTTTTTGCCGCACAGGGCTTTCAGGCTCTGCTTCAATAGCTAGGCGATGTACCGCTGGTTTAAACCACCACTCTACCCCCCACCGAAAAAAATGGCATTCCGGTGAGTTTGGAGCGGGTCTTTAGTGGGGCGGCCGACCGGGAGGCGCAGGCAGGTCCAGTCCCACAATTTTCACTTGACAACTTTGGCGAATTTCCGCGCTCAGGAAAATAAGGGCAAAAATCTGAAAATTTGAGATCCTGTAGATTAGGCCGTGATCTTTATGGGAAAACTATCACCAAAAAAAAAAAAATTAGACCATGAAACAAATGCCACACAAATTCGTCACATTTTTCATTTTTGCCACTCAAAAAAAAAAAAAAAAAAACGTGTGGGCCAAAGGAGAAAGTACCCTAACTTCTGTGATTTTTTGCGCTCAGAAGAATGCCTTGAAAACTCTGAAAATTGAAGGCTCTGTAGATTAGGTTGTGATATTTCCACAAAAAATATTTTAAAAAATGTTTAAAAAGTTTTAGTCGGTGAAATAAATGCCACGCCAATTTTTCTCATTCTTGATTTTTGCCACTCTACTACTTGTGGGCCAACGGGAAACCTACCCCAATTTCAGCGATTTTTCACGCTCAGAAGAATTCATAAAAAAACCTGAAAATTGGAGGGTCCGTAGATTGGGTCGTGATCTTTCCGGGGGAAAAAAAAAAATTAAAAAAATCGTTTTCACCACGAAATAAGTGGTGGCGGCAATTTGTCGGATTTCTCATTTTTGGGCCTCTGCCGGGCCTCCACACTATGCTACCGGTAGCCCTCATGAACATGTGCTACCAGTCCCCCGACTTTCACAAAGTCAGGTCGAGTGGTGGTTAAAATCCTCTTCTCAGGTTATGACCTTACCATCTCCTGTTGCCACATGGCGCACGAAACAAAATGCGTGCATCTGCGCATGAAAGGTGGCAAAATACACTCGTACTATTTATAACAAACTGATGAACCTGTCCAGTTTCTGTGGGCAGATGCACTCGTCTCATTTTTTGTTTCGTGTGCCGTGCAGTGACGCCCTTGTGGTAGGCTCGGGCACTGGGGCCCAAAAAAAAAAAAAAAGTCCTTCCACAAAACAAAAACAAGGGGAGGAAAGACAAACATTGCTGACGGCACACATGCCGTCTCCAATCCCTCGTGTGTGTGTGTGTGTGTGTGTGTGTGTGTGTGTGTGTGTGTGTGTGTTATAAGCTTCCCCCACAACAACCCCTATTCCAACCAGATGAGTAGAACCGGACTGAGTCCGCCCAACACTTAAAAAAAAATTCTTTAACAGGCAGCACGAATCATAATAGAACCATTTTGAACCGTGTTTAGCTAGAGTTTCTTTGGGGCGACAGCTCCTCTTTCACTTTGCCTCGCACGTACAAGGCTGCCCACGTTGATGGTGGTTGAGCGGCAGCTGCCCAAATCCCCGTGTGCCTTAACGGCCCACTTGCACGTTATAATAAGAGGCAGAGTAAAGGGGAAGGTATGCTCCTGTGCACTTCAGTTCAGATCTTCATACTCCTGTTCATTTCACTTCAGATCTCCAGCTGTTCATTTCCCTTCAGATCTCCAGCTGTTCATTTCACTTCAGGTCTTCAGCATATGCTTAGTCTTTGTGTCTGTCGTTCGTCTTCATACTCCTGTTCATTTCTCTTCAAATCTTCAACTTATACTTTGTCTGTACTCTTACTGATGCTCATTCGTATGTATTTCCTAGTTGCACATAAGGAGAGGGCGGAGGGAAAGGGACAGGAGGTAAGTCTGTCAGGACATGAGGTAGGGGGAAAGCAGAGTGCAAGGGTAGGGCAGGCGAGAGGTATATGATGGGCTTCGCAGAATTCTAAACACTCACCGCTGGAATAGCACATGAGGTTCATTGGTGTTTGGGTTGCACAAGATTTTGAGTCAAGGAGCAGTTATTGCCTATGGTAAGTGACCATCCCTACAGACCGGACAGGACCGGTTCGGGTGTGGACTGTGGAAGCACCGCATCCAGTTTTCACAGTCACAGTTGCTGCATCGAATGGCACGGCGCAGACAAATGTCACAGGCAACGTGGCTCCTACATGCTAGGAACACGGAGGCACGTCGACCACAATTATAGAGGCACTGCCGTTCTAGCCCCTGTCTACAAATTGGACATGACATGTGAGCTGTCTCTTATACACATCTAGATGTGTATAAGAGACAGGGTTCATATAGAGGCCCATTTTCCTCCTCGGGCTGCTGTGTGTGTCGCACGTCTGGCAAGGAAGAGGAAGAACCCTCTGCGGTTGCCGTAGGTGTATGACCAACACCGCATGTGGGACATGCTAGGAGAGGATGTGGTGGGTGATGGCACCGGGGATAGTCCACGCAGTAGAGACACATACTTTCTATGACTGCTTCCTGGAAGCACTGACGACACATGGCATGTTGCTGACATGTCATCGGTATGGAAGAATGACGTGCACAGTTATTTAAGCATGGCAGATCAAGGCCACAACGGCATGCTGGGCAAGTAATCAGGGGGTAGGGGGGATGAGCACAAGACAAGGGATCACAATTTTCGTGGGAGAGGCTAGCAGCGACCATCCCTTCATAATGTTTGGAGCAGAGGCTATGCCGTGTACACGCCAACCGAACTGTACCTGTGCCACTGCACAATGGGAGGGCACAGCCACTATCCTCTGGAGAGGTCCGTTCATTGTTTGTGGTAGGACCAGCCAGATTGCTCTGCAGGGGGTGTAGTGCTTGCGAGTGGTGATCGACATACTGTTCCTGATGGACGAGCCAGACTGCATGATCCTCCTCCATTTGGTGATAGAAAGAATTAACATTTCCTGTTGTATGCACGCTGCCGCCGTTGTCCCATAGGGTCCATAAGTTATCTGCAAAGGTAAAAGCACTAAAATGACCTGGACGATATAAGATATATGCCCGAATATTTGGATACATGCCTGGCACGTGGTTTTGAGGGGCAGGCTGGAATTGTAGTCGCCTACCCATAAATGCCATAGCCAGGACTTCTATGTTCACACCAGGTGCAGCACTATCATCCTCTGGGCATACGGCACGGTGCTTTTCTTCTATCCAGCGGACAACGTCTGCGAAATCAGCAACCGAATAAGGGTTACAATTGTAGGCAAGGAGACATGCATTGATGGCATAGTACGCACAGCRGCCTCGCTGTAGCGCTATGATATCGTTGGATTCCGCGGGTTGTGCTGGAGCTTCGTTCACAGCAGGAGGAGATACGTTCGATTCTGCACATTGCACGGGTGGAGGAGACTCATTGCGGTCTTGACCAATTGGCTCTAGTATGCGCTCCGGAGAGAGACGATCTTCAATCCGGGGCTCCATCAGGTAGCCAGAAGAAGGGTCAATGTCATTTGGGGCAGGGGAAGAAACGGGGCTAGTTGGATGAGAAAGGGGCGGGTCAGGGGGGTGAGAACTGGGTGGGTCAGATGCGGAAAGCGGAAGCTGATCAGCTGCACTTGTGCTCAGAGCGGCAGCCAGTCGTGCAAATGCTGCACAAGTAGCTGCACCTCGTGTCTGGTGCACGCGGAGGCCTGCAGCACTGAAGAAATCATCCCCACATTGCGGGCATCGGACTCGGCATGTACTATTCCTGGCTAGTGTGTATCGAAGGCGACGCTGTCGTTCCGAACGGTTGCGAGCATGTCGGCGGAGCAAATCTCTAGTAGCTGTTGGAGGCGCGGTGATCAAGCCGTTCACGGCTAGACGAGGCCGCTGTCTTGGGGACGGCGGTGGAGACGGAGAATGGACCCGCCGAAGAGGCATCTGCAATGGTTGGTCCAACGTCGTATGCGTCCGCCAACCGGGCCTTTGTCGTAGCTGATCCGACCATGAATGTGATGATGGTGATGATGATGTCGAGGTTGATGACAATGATGCTGGCAGCGACGGCGGCTGCGATAGTGGTGCTGAAGGTGTTGGGGAGGGTGGTGGTGATAGGGCAAGGGCAGTCGTGGTGATGATGATGGCGGTGGTGGTGGCAGAGGTGGTGATGGCGGCGATGGCGGCGGTGGAACTGCCACCGCATTCGTAGGATGCTGGCCCTCCTCCCTTGCAGCCACTTCGGCCAAATTTGTTGCGATTGGTCCGGTCTCCTGTCKGGTTGGCGTATTCTCATTARCATTTGGAAKTTCAGCTGTGGAGGGCTGATGTTGGTCGGGCTGCGGGATGTTTCCTATTGCGTGCGGTTGTGCGAAAGACCTGCGAACARAATTTGCATTCGGGAGTGGGTGGGCAATTGCCCAGCGTACCATGCGCCGAAACCAGTTCGAAAGCCGTGTAACATGAGTGGGTAACCGGCGCTGCCGGCCGCGCACGTATGCATTCCAACCTTTGGCCAGGACACTGGGGGGATGGCCTCTAATGAGCATTCGTTGTGTGAGGGAAGTCACTGCAGCCTTAAAGTCGGCAGTATTGTTGCAGATGTGTTCAAATCGTGTTAGCTGCCCTGTGAGCACACCTGCAAGCTGATGAGTTGGGGCATTAGAGGAAGCGC